TACACACACACACACACACACACACACACATACACGCGCACACACAAACACACAAATGCTGTCATATGTAACGCAAATACACACATACACACATACACACACACAAACACACACGTACACACACACACACACACACATACACACACACAACACACACGTACACGCACGTACACGCACGTACACACACGTACACACACGCAAACACAGATACCATATAAAACGAGAAGAAGAACGAGAATGACAGAGGAGAGAGAGAGAGAGAGAGAGAGAGAGAGAGAGAGAGAGAGAGAGAGAGAAAGATCTTCATCAAAATCTGTTTTTAATCGTTAGAGAATTCGTTGTTTAAGGAGATTGCTCATGGACATTTGATATACTTGAAGCCTTGTAGAGAATCTCAAATACGTAACCCTGACTGGCTAAGAAAGTTGGCTTAACATCAAAGCAAAAAAGCCGTAATATTACTGCCACATCCGGTATTTTTTCGTTTGTTTTTTTTTCTTTGGAGGAGGATTACGCCAATAAAAAAACCGACACATTTTCAAAAAATATGATGGAATGTCAATAATGTCAGGGGTCAAGACTATGTTAGCCTCCTTCCAGATGTAGACGCTTATTTGAATCGCCAACAGCTTAACAGATGGTTAAAAGAATCGCTCCTTCTAATCCTCCCCTCTCCCCCAGTCTCTCCTCGAACCCACCTTACACACAGACAGACAGACATAATACAGACAGACAGACATACAGACAGACCTTATACAGACAGACAGACCTTATACAGACAGACAGACAGACAGAGAGAGAGACAGTCACACTCATATGCACACTCATACCCACACATTTTTATTTTTGCTTGTTTTGGTAAATATTTTGCGGCTCTTGCAACAGCATACTGTCATATTATGAGCGCGCAGGACACATTAAAACAGTTAAAACATTTTAGTTGTGTGAATTTTGAATTTTGCCCTGGTGGTGGCCGAAGCCTACTCTTATCGATTTTTAGTAACACCAAGGAATCTCTAACGTGCACAACTTGCACCGGGACCTCCGAGATTTTTTCGCCCTTAACCGAGAAGGCTTTTTGTTAGATCTTACCTACCCTAAGATCAGGAGTGTAGCTAAAAGACAGCAGAAAGACGAAGCCAAAGAAGAGCAGTTGAAAAACTGCAGAAAGAAACGGGAACCCAGAGGAAGAGGCAAAGGGAGGGGAAGGGGGTGGGGTGGGGGGGGGCAGAAAGTGGAGAGGAAAGCAGACAACAGAGCCTGGTTAGAGAGAAGGAAAGGGGCAAAAGGAGAACCCTTTTAAAGAAGAAATTTGTCGAATCTGTAAGGTTTCGAAACCTGGACCTATTAAATGAGAGGGGAACATCGAAACCTCTAGACCACTAAAGCTCCCACATACACACGTACAAGCAAACTAATATACATACACACGCATACACAAACACACACAAACATATACACACACAGACAAACACACACACACACACACACACACACACACACACACATGTGTGAATGTGCACGAACGCATGCACTCACGCACGCATGCACGCATGCAAGCACGAGTGTGTATGTAAGTGTGCGTGTGTATGTGTCTATCTATGTGTATACGTATTACCCAAAAACACATGTACATAATAATATATAAACATACAAACACCCACACACAAACACATCATAATGGCGTTCCCCTACATAGCTAAAAAATATTCTTGATATACATTCTGTCTATAAAAACGGCTATTGTATAATACAACGAAGTATTTTTCAGAAATATATCTATATCTCGAGCCCGCGAAGTGATTTCACCACCCAGAATTTAGATCTAATTGTGCGTGTCAGTTATGAAGTTTGTATCGACCACTGGATTTTCCGTCTGAATCGTCTAAAACGAATACCATTCAACTGAATGGATAAGAGGGGATTAAAGCTTCTCTGACTATCGGATACAATCGATAGTTAGTTAAGTGCAACAGGAGAGGACTATAACGCATCCGTTTTTTGGAGTTTGTCCACAGAACTTGGGTCTGTTTCGCGCTCGAATCAATTCGGCAGCGCCCAACGAAAGCGGTGTTGATTGACAGGCGATTAACGTCACAATACTTTCCGTGATTGCGCATTTCTTTAACGATTTGAAACATTTTTTTGTGCGTTCCTTTGAATATTATGCTGTATAAAATATTGACCGATGAAATAACCGAATTTAGTAAGCAAAATAAAATAAAAACAATATTTATAAAAACCAAAAGAAAAACATTCCAGTACTCGTGAACTGCCCCCTGTAATGTGAGTCATAATCACATTAAAATGAGAAATGTCGGCAAAAACAAACAGTTCGTTACAGTAGAAGTTTGTTAGTATCTCGAAAAAACAAACAAACAGCAACCTCCCATGTAACTGTCAGGCACATCAATGCCTATCCCTTTAAAAGAAAGGTTTATGTCATCAGAGAGAGAGAGAGA